AGTGGGCTCGGTACCCCCGTTTCCGGGAGGCTAGCCCTGCAACCCCGGCCCCCCCCTGCACAAGGCCCCGCTTCTAGTGGCAGGAGCCCTGAGTGCCCCTCGCCACCCCCTCCCCCAGCCAGAGAACCCCTGGGCCGGACGGAACTCCAAGACTGCACCCCACCCCCGCCACCAGAGGACCCCTGGCACAGTCCCTGTCCCGGGTCAGCCACAGCCAGCCAACCGACCGGAGCCCCAGCCTGGCCAGCCCGAGCAAACCCAGTCACGCCAGCCAGCCCGGGTGACCCCAGCCCTGTGCGAGGCCAGAGCAGCCCCCAGCCCCAGGCCCCGACCAGCTGGGCAACCACAACCCAGCATCCCTCGGCAGCGGCTCCAGCCAGGGAAGGCAGAGCTTTCCCTGGCCTATTATACCCGCCACCCACGTCATCCCCGCTCCCCGGACGGGCATCCCCTCTGCTGGGCCCAGGGCTCAGGGCAGAGCCTGGCTCTGAGCGTCCAGCAGCATGGAGCCCCCCGTGAGGAACTGGCTGGTTGTGGGGCTGGGAGCGGGGATGCTGAGCCGGGCCCCTCACCTGCTACCACCAGCTCCACGGGGTCACTGGGCTCCGAGAAGACGAAGGGCTCTGATCGGTTCTGGTAGCTGCAGCTGTAGTTCCCTCCATGCTGCCGACCCACGGTGGGGATGCGGAACTCGGCCCCGGCCCCAGCAGGGTCCATGTGCCTCTGCGGGTTCAAGTCTCCAGCCTTGTGCAGGAAGAACGTCATGTCCCAGTGCTGCCCCTGACACCGGATGGTGACATCTGCCCCTGGGGCAGTGACCCCAGTGGGGCTCAGAGAGATGGAGGGTCTGGGTAAGCTGGGCTCTGTGCACAGGAGACAGGATGTGAGAGCCAGACACGGGCACTCACTCAGCCCTGGGGTCCCCGGGCAGAGATTCTCTCCCAGATCCCAGAGTTTCCCCTACCCAGAATCCTGGCCCTGCGCGCTGGGCTTCCAGCCCCACGGACACCAAGCCGCGGCTCACTAGTTCTAGGGATCCTCATATGCCCATGTGTGGCCCCTGCCTCGTTCACAGCATCCAGCCCCCCGAGCACAGAGCGACTCACGGGCTGGTCTCTGGTGCAAGGCACCGCCCAGCACCACAGGCCCCGAGCTGCACACAAGAAGGGAGTCAGCCTCCCATTCTACATAGCGGGAAACTGAGGCACCGACATATTCACTTTCCTCAGTGAGTTCCAGGGGAAGGGACTGTCTCTTCACTCTGTGTTTATGCAGCGCCTGGCACAACAGGGTCCTGATCATGGCAGGGGCCCTTCATGCACCCGCTACACCAGGGATCCAGCGCTATTGAGGTCTCCACTAACTGTGGGCATCTCGGTTTGTGGGCGCTCAGCCTGAGAACCCTGAAGATTGAGGCCCCCCCACAAGGAAGGACACTTTTGAACACCATGGTGTGCTCCCATTACACAGAGTCTGTGGCTTTCCCAGGAGCTGGGCCAGATCTTCTGGGTCCCAGCAAAGGAAGCAGGTGCTTGGAGCAGCCAAAGGAAAGGGGCGGCATGTCCGGGTCTTCGGTGGCGGGTCCCTCAGTCCCTCTCAGAGCGAAGGGCCTGCCACCGAATTGCCGCCGAAGAATGAAACGGCGCGGTTGAGCTGCCACTGAAATGCCGCCGATCGCGGCTTTATCTTTTTTTATTTTATTTTATCTTTTTCGGTTCACCGCTTGGGGCAGCCAAAAAGCTGGAGCTGGCCCTGCCAGGGGAGTGGGGAGGGGCTGGCTGAGCAGCCCCTGGGCCCCAAGCCCTCAGTGCGTCCCCCGAGACGGGGAGGATCTCCCTGGGAAAGGTCCCCTGCTCTGCAGCTCCCCCTGGGGACAGGGATCCCCCCTCCCTCAGACTCAAATCTCCAGCAATTGCTGCTCCCCCCAGTGACTCCATCCCCCATGGGCGGTGGGTGGACCCCCCTTTCCGGGAGGCTAGCCCTGCAACCTCAGCCCCCCACTGCACAAAGCCCCACTTCTAGTGGCAGGAGCCCTGAGTGCCCCTCGCCACCCCCTCCCCTAGCTGGAGAAACCCCGGCTGGCCAGAACCCCGAGCCAGCCTGTTGTGCATTTGGTTGTCGTGGTAATAGAATCTTGTGTTGCTATGGCAACTGAGTTAGATTATTAGGGGATAGCCCAGCCTGTTTGGGCTGGCTTTTGGTTAGTTCTCTGTGTAGCAATAAATGGCTGCTCCAAGGTTTACAGCTCTCTGTGTCCCAGTGATTTCTTCCTAACCAGAGGAAGGACGGTTTAGTGGTTAGGGTGGTAACCTGTGACTCGAGAGGCCTAGTTTCAATTCTCCATCCCTTCAACAGGGATGGCAGCCCTGCCTTACAGGAGTGTTCTGAGGAGAAACACCTGAAAAGATTGTGAGGTGCTGAGGGACAACAGTGTGAGGGACCAGCTAAG